AAGTGGATAGCCCCTATAAATAATATGCAGCCTCACCCTGTGGATAGTCACAGAATCTGGTTGCAATATCAATCCTCAGAGCCCACAGAACAGAGACAATGCACATGAATGGAGGACCAGCAGAACACCACTTCCCTACTCTGAACTGAATGTGGTTGCAGTAGTTGTATATTTAGTTATTTGTGTAACATCACATTCATGGTCCACCATCCCAGCATCTTGGAACTGGAAAGTGGCAAACTCCCATACTCCACTTCTAAAATAGGGGGAGGGGGGGAATGCAGTGGAGAGTCCAGAGGAGCACCATTACCAGAGACAATGAAATGGGTGACCACGAAAACCTTATATTGGAAAGCAGACCACCCCTGATTTATTCAATCTGAGGGACAGCAGGGATGGGCGGCTACCCCCTTCTGCTAAACCCATGTAAGTTCATGGGTTAGTACAGTATGGAACAGGCATACTTATGGAGCAAATATATCCCAAGAGAAAAATTTATGAGCAATCTTGTGGAATACCCCCATCTCAACAGTGTGCATTATGTGCCATTGGAAATATAGTATTTTATGATAGCAGCATGGCTGAACAGTGCAGATTTGTGATACATTAAGTATATCTGGACATGCAACACTCACCACAGAGTGGTATCCTAACAGTAAAAAAAGTGACACACCCTTGAAAGAAAGTATAATGTACATAAAAGAGAAAACTTACTCATTCACAGTTTCACCAAAATTTGTTAAGGATGGCAACAGGTGGAAGATGGTATCCCAATGAGGAACAAACAGCCACCAGTGGGAGACGAAAGTATGAGTAGTAGTCACCACATGGTCGCCTGAAGAATTTCCTCCAATGGATGATGGAGGTGAGACACCAGGGAAAAGGTAAGGTGCTTGATCTGATGTGATGACACTTATAACAGATATTGGGAAGAAGAAGACAAGGAGGAATAAACCAATCGAATCAAAATACAAACCCAATTGGTAAGTGTTGAAGGAGAAAATTCATGAGCAGAAGAATGTTGCCAGGGAATGAAAAGAAGGGAACAAGAACCATGGAAAGAAGCTGTGAGAGAAATGTAACAATGAAGAGCACATAATGAACATAGAAGCCTATTAAGATCAGACCAGGAATAAAGGTGGGAGATGGAAGGAAGCAAAATCAGCGAGAAGAAAGAATCACCTTCACAAGCTGCTGAAATCTTGGAAAAGAAATATTGATCCCGATAAAGGAGAACATATGTGGAATGGTACAGAGTGCAGGAGGCGTCAATGGCAAATATATCACACCAACAATGTCCACAGGCTAATAGAGCTAATGTAGGGCTTAAGGGACAAGTGAAACAAAGAACAGGAGGATAAAAATTCAAATGGAGGTAAAGTAAGGCAGTGAAGAACCATACTGACATCCCAATCCGTAAAGACCTCTCAAAGAGGAGGTTTATGAATCCAGAAGGAACATAACAACGTGGACAGGATACGAGAGGTAAACACAAGATGGTATCAGAAAAAGCAGGAGTGTGTGAAAAAGACCCCCAAGTGGACAAGATGATGGGTAATGACAGAAAAAACTGGTTTGTTATTTCAAGTCAAAAGCTTTATTTTGTTGATGTTCTTATTACAAAGACAGTGGTACAAAAATACACTGTTTTTATCTTAAATCTAGTATACTGTTACTTCATAAGTCTCATTGGTTAAAGTTAATACTTATCTTCCTGGTAAACATAATCTGCAAGGATAATCCAGCTTCCTAAGCCCTCAATGAAAAAAAACTAATGTCATATTTACTAAACTAATTGGGAAACTCATTAGTTTGTAAATACAGCATTAATGTATACTGTGGCCTTAGTGCCCTCCAGTGAATTTTTTTTGGCCTTGGTGCCCCTAAAAATGACGAGTTTCCTGGCCTGCTATTGGCATAAAACACTGTAGCATCTTCCAAATATAGACCAGCTAAGGTATCATTATCTAAAACCACAACTGTAACATACTAATACTATCAAAGCATAAAACTTGTACTACTTTATATGCGAGTTTGAATGTTACTGCTAAAACACAAGAAAAAGAAACCTACGTTTTTCGATCAACCTATAGCTTTATTCAATTTTGTGAAATATGTACCTTGTATTATAAAAATACAATGACGATTATTGGTTTGCTATTCTTCACATTGTATATCCATTATAATGAGAAGAATCATAAAAGAGACATTTTTATGGTACTGAAACACTTTTAATTGAATATTTATAAAAGTTATCAACAAATGTCCTATTAAAACATCATTCACTTCCTTTTCCCTACCACTTTGATTATAAGTACTGCTCTCTGAAATAAACACTTTAGTAGTATTAACTAAGTTTCAATAAAAAGCACTTGTCCAAATTAGAAAACAAAGATTTCATGAATAACACTTATGCTTTTGATAATCTAAAATATTATTGTTAAAATAAGTCTTAAATAAAACCTTCAGAAAAAGAAAATACCAGCTGACAAGATGCTTATACTCATTTAAACAGTTTTTATCATGCCAATACTATAATGTAGTTCTAAATACACAACATAAACACAGTACTAATTAGTACTACTAATTCTGTTGTTAATAATAAAGGTAATTTCTAGTATTTTCTCCAACCAGTGCCACCCACATTTACTTTTAACCAAACTATTAGCTTCTCTAGCCCTCTCTTCATCATGCTGATCAATAATATTTGGTACTTTAAAATTCATTCCAGCTTTAATTGAAACTAACTTGCAAATTTTCAATGCATTTCATACATAAAAAATTCACACAAAAAGAAAATGAGTAAATGAGATCCAGGTGATATGCAAAGTAGCAATAAAGTCATTCATGACAGATTAATTTCCAGAAACTGTAAAAAATAGAAATGATCAGAATAGTAACATGTAGGAAAAACAAATCAGAAGGACCAAGAGAAATTAAAGTTGGGAGATGAAATTAACTGTTATATCAAAGAATAGTGTGATTTCAGTGATGTCAGAAGAAGGTGAGCAAAAAGGCCTTATTATGACATTCATAGGTGTCTGCAGAAATTTTTCTAGGTGGGGTGGGTTGGAAAAATCAAGGGATGGTGGACCCCCCTTCAAAGTCTTGCCATTACAGTCAAAAGAATAGGCAAGTTCTTTGATGATTTGAGTGATAATTACCATGTCCAATACCCACGAAGCTGCCATGGTAGCTGCATTTTTCAATATTTAGATACAGGGCAGGTATCCAAAGATTTCAAGACTTTTATTAGAATTAAAAATTAAGTGTAATAAGTAGCGTGAAATTGTGAAGTGAACAAGCACTTGTAAATTCATATACAAATGGTGAATGAAAAAGAAAGAATTATGTTTCTCATTGTACAGGGAGGGAGGGCAACTGCCTCCCCCCCTACAGACACCCATGATGACATCATTAAAGAAAAAAAATAACAAAAGAATGTGAAACTAAATTCTGTAATGGCCACTGGTTCATACAAAAGATTTAATGAGCTGGAATCTTGATTCTGTGGTAGAGCAAAAGCTTAAGGAAAGTAGAAAAAGAAACTACTGTCCTTGTTATCACAAAGTGCAATTTACAATCAAAGTTCATGGGAACAACACAAAATGATAATGCAAATAAAAAAAAAGTAATTAAGAGCTTAAAAGACACAAATGGTTGGACAAAATCACCTTTACCTATGTGAAGAGGTAAAACTTCACAAAACAAAACTCTCATACTACACAGTTATCAATAAGACAATAGAGAATTAGCTTAAAAAAACTTCCCAGAGGCCTTTTCAAATTAAGAATGATAAATCAATATGATAAACATCCTTCTGCTTATCTTATGATAAACACAAAAGTTTCAGAATGATAGTAACAAGATGCAAGAGAAAAGCTTAGATCGACAGTGTGGCAAATCCTTGGGGTTCTGAACTTTTCACAACCGATTTCTATGCACAACTGATTCAAAGACTGTATATATATATATATATATATATATATGTGTTAAAGACTTTTTTTTCTTTTTTCAAGAGAGAGGTGAAATTGAAATGAGAACCTGTGAAGTAAAGTCCTATTGCATTCTTTGATTGGCTGTACCCTCCGCTGTGGACTGCAGTTTCACCTATTGAAGGCTCATAACATTATTCACATACCTAAATTAATTTAGGTTACTATATGGTGAAGTAAAACAGACTCAAAAACCCCATATATATTATATAAACTTCACCATTATAAGAGACCTAATGGTATTTCTTTGGATTGCTGACCCAAGCTGTGCTTATGATCTTTGAAGAAGCAAAACTGCAGTCCACAGCAGAGGGTACAGCCAATCAAAGAATGGATTACGTCTTTACATCACAGATTCCCTTTTGAATTTCACCTATGGTGAAAAAAGAAAATAAATCTTTAACACGTATATATATAAACATTAAACAATTGGTCTGCTGTATAATACTGAATAATGAATTTGACAAAATGTCATAACATACCTAAGTTAATTTAGTTTACTATATGGTGAAGTAAAACAGACTCAAAACCCCATAGATATGATTCAAAGACTATTTTATTTTGTTATTATAAACCTGTATGGCTCTTTGCAATTTTTATAGATGATTTTGAGGCAACAACTCTCAGTAAGCTGGAAAATGGTACTTGGTAAAGAAAACTTTATTCCACTAGACCAATGTTGCAGATCACATGTTGGAAATTTTATTCTTAGTAAAAAAGTTTAGTATTTTAACATGTCCGTTACATATAAGTTACAATAATAGCACCAACTACTATTATAAAAGTTTATCACTACATTTAATGGTTCTCGCTATTCAGCTCTAACTTCTTTGATTATAAACAACTACGAGAATATGTAGACTGAAATTTACTATTTTTCTGGGGTAACTTTTAAACCAATATTTAACACCTTGTATTTTTGTTTTTAAGTCACATGTTAATAATTCTAAACTCTTAAGGATATAAACAAAATGAGCGTATATTAAATAAAATATGTTATCATACCTGTGAAATGCCAGTTAAACTTCTACAAAACTCAGATAACTGTGGGTTCAGGCTAGGTTTACAATATTCGTGGAAAGTGTCAACCTGGAACAGTGTCACTGATGAGTTAAGTTACAACAGTTTAAAGATCTAAATAAAAATTACACACACCATGAAACCTTTAGCTGCTAAATTAGGCTCTGATAGAAATGGTAAAATTTATGAGAGGGAAAGAAAATTACCAGAAAATATTTCAAATTTGCATCATAATTAAACAATCAGATGGTAAAAAGGATATCAAGCACTAGTTGAATCTTGTACCGTTCTCTATTTTAAACAAAAGGTTTTACAAGTTTTAATCACACTACATTAAACTATCATAGTAATATATTACTATTGATGGTAATTTTCTCTACTTAAGAAGAAATGTGATTAGTAACAGTTTAAGATTATCAATAAAACTTTTGCATGAACCAGATATTTCTTACAATTGCTATAACCACAAACTGTGGGAGCCTAAAGATGTTTTATCTTGTTTATAGTAGTTTGTAACAAATATGAGCACAAGCAGCTCAGCAAAAATAAATAATCCTGAACTTACAATTGCTTTCTGCCTTGTATCAACCAAAACAGCAGGGAATTCAATTATTTCATGAGGGTAATCTGGAACTTTTGCTCCTTCACAAGTAGCTTCAAAGTCAATAACACAGAGAAAATTATAGGGACAGCGAGCATCCTTATCTTGTTTTTCCAATATCTCCTTTTTCTTCAACTTTTGCTGTTTATAGAAGTTCTTCAGCCTTCTTTTAAGAACATCCACCTCACCTCTATAATTTTTATTACAAAATTATCAAACTGTAAAACACAAAAAGCAATGTATACCTAGATACATGTACATATTTTTTTTCTGTCAAATATAAAATTACATGAAATGTTGATGGTTGATTAATAGATTTTGTTTAGTAAAAGACCAACTGATTAGTTGTATAACAACTCTTTTTTATCTATTTTTTCAGCAACTTGAAATAATCAACTAATTATACAGTAATATTTTCCCTTAACATTTCGAGATGGAAACAAGATTCAAAATCAAAGACATATTTATCATTATTATTACTTTGAACCTACAATTCTTGGTTCATATGCCAAGAAATAAGCCTACTTTCTCCACTTTCACACCACCCTCTGAATTATTTTTAATACACATTTACTCAATAGAAAATAACTACATATCATCATTATACTCACAGACCTATAATCATTTCTCACAAGGTACAAACTCTATCTCAATAATAGTCCTTACCAGATATTGTCACATTTTCTCAATCACTGTTGTTGGGAGGATGGAAGGATCAATTCAAATGTCAATTTCAAATAATATACTCTATCTATATTATAGGATACTAGTGTACTATACCTCTTTAGTACTTTCATATGGTGTTTCTCACACTTCCAAATTCTGATGGAGGCGAGTAATCGGGAATAGGACTAACGTCCTAGTTCGGACACCGGGTGAGCATGTTTTGGTGTGATGGGGATTCGAACCCACAACCCTCAGATTGCAAGTTCAGTGCCCTAACCACCTGGCCATGCCGGGCCATTACATTATACCTCTGTTATAACCTCGAACTGGAATAATACCAACAATGATAGAGGTAGTAAATGAGTATAAAGAAGTAGAAAAAGAAATTATAGTGTTGGCAGAATCCGAGCAAGCAGAATCATGTAAAGGCAACCTATAACTTACCTCGTGGTACACATGCTAGAGCAAATGACACCAGCCTCAAAGGCTCCAGTGTTACTTTAGAGAGTAAATTGGAAATACATCCAGTAAATAAAAGGTATGGAACTCCCAACTGCTTGTCTCAAGTGACTAATGTAAAAAACCAACCTCAGTGCTACCTGTCAGATCACCTAAGGTAATAAATAGTCAATTCATACAGTGACTGGTTTTTACATACGTGTAGGCCAGATTATTTAATAAGTGTCCGTGACTTGTTGGTGATAAATTTCACAAACAGCACACAGTTCACTTGTTTTAAAATAATATATTAAAACAAGTCAAATATATGTACAATTGTTTGTTACACACTTAAATACCACAGTTGTATCCAGACCTTTAAGTAATCATCTCTTTTTGTCAAAGTCCACATAGGCTGGTTCCATTACTTTAGAACACAATTCAGAAGAGAAATTATTTCTTTTCTACTCTGTTATTACAATACATTCTGTGATACCTTCACTTTAGAAATCACCACTATATGCTCTTTATGACTAAACTCATAATCATGCAGTCTAGATCTATCTCTATCTAACTAACTTACTATGTCTTACTCGAACTACATGTTGTATGCATATTTATAGCATGACTGAGGCCTAGAACATTCTACATACTACGATATATTATGATGCAATAATACTCAATCAAAACAATGAGAAAACTTAGAAGGTTTTGGTAAAATGACACAATAATACAAAAACTGCCAATTCACAACAACTGAGTTACACAACGTATGACTTGCACAGTTACATAAACAAACCTGCGATAAACTATTACTTGTAAAAAAGAAAACAATTTAACACTCGCTCTATACTTAAACTATATAAATCACAACACTCACATTAAACTTAAACAGTCGTGTATATCGAACAATAAGCCCTTCTTTAAGTTCACACACAAAGTCTATTCATACAGTCTACACCAAGATTTGCAGTCCTCTTGATGGCCTCAATGTGGAACCAAACATCCTGGAGGTACAACACCTGCCTCATGATCCTAGCACTGTCAATTTTGCACCTCTGGATGTATGCATAGGGCTAATGGTCTGTCTGGATGATGAACCCTTCCCATAGAGGTGGTGCTGGAATTTCTGGATGGCAAGTACGATGGCCAGACACTCTTGTTCAATCTAGAGTAGTTCTTCTCACAACTCAACAGCTTTTTACTGAAGGACATTACTGGAAACAGTCCATCTCTGATTTTTCCAAAAGTACTGCTCCAATTACAACATCTGATGCATCGGCCTGAATGATGAATGGTTTATTTGATATCTGGCATTCTAAGGATTGGCAAGCTTCCTGACATGTTCTTCAGCTTCTGGAGTGCCATCTGATGTGGTTGTTCCCACTTTACCTTGTTGGGTTGGCCTTTTTAGGTCAGATCAGTCAGTGGTGCAGAAACTTCAGCATAGTTTGAGATGAACTTATAATATCCTGCTAACCTCAGGGAGGATCTAACCAGCTGCTTGGTCATTGGAGCTGGTGCAGCTTGTATGCAGGTTAGCTTCTCCTCTTCCATTGCGACAAAGTCCAGTATGGAACACCTGATGTAGCACTGAAATGGTCTGATTATTAGACCTGCTGCCCTCACTTGCCAGAACAGCTCTCTGAGTTTCTCCAGTTGGTCTTCCTATCTGCCTTTGTGGGTCAGAATGCACATAATGCTCAATGTTGGTGGTTTTGTGCAACATCTTCCTCATCATGAGGTTGAATGTCATTGCTGAGTTGACTAAACCAAACAGCATCCTCTTGAACTAGTAGCATCCATCTGGTATCAGAAAGGCTGTCTTCTCTTTAAATCCTGTCTCTGTCGGGATCTGTCAATAACCTTTACTGAGGTCGACTTTCGAACAAGAACTTGGTCTTTTCTAATTTTGTCATAATATCCCATGGGTTGCTCATAGGTTCAGAGTCAAACTTTGTCATGAGATTCAGCTTCCAGAAATTTGAGCCATCCCTCTTTTTCATGATTACCACTGGTGAATAGTGGGGTGAATCTGAAGGTTCGATGATTCCGGCTTCTAACATTACCTCGACTTCTTGCTTGATCAGGTCTCTCATCACACAGGGCATCTGGTAGGGCTTCATCTTGACTGGATCCATGGTCATGGTCTCAATCTTGTGTTGCACAAAGTCTGTCTTGACTGGTCTATCTGTGAAGACATCTGCACAGTAAATCTTGTAGTTCTTTCTTCTGCTTATCAGTCAGTTCTTCACTGATGTTAACATCTTTGTACATCTCATCTCCACCCAATGGTCTTTCATCTCATAGGTCTTCATCTTCTTCCCACAGCCACACCTGCAATGTCCATCCATGCCTCAATAGCTGCACTAATTAAGTGTTTTCCCTCTCAAAGTATCTCTTCAACAAATTGGGGTGGTACATCTTTGTCTTCCCATCCACTTCCACCTTATAGTCCATTCTGTTGACCACTTCCTAGACTTCAAAGGTCCTTTCCACTGCAGGGTGAGTTTGTTGTTGTCTGTGGGTAGCAGATCTAAGACCTTCTACCTGACCTTGAAACATCAGTCCTTGGCCTTCTTGTCCTAGAAGTGCTTACGACTGCCTTGAGCTGCATAAAAACTTTCTCGAGCAAGTTGATAGATCTCCTCTAGTCAGTTTCTGAGGTCTAACAAGCACCGATATGTGTTCCTCACTTTTGACTCTTCTTCTCCTGTCCGCAGTTCTTTCAATATCTGCATTGGACCTCATACTATTCTTCCATACAGTAACTCTAAGGTTGAAAGTCCAGCACTCGCTTGGGGAACTTCTTGGTAAGCAAACATACTGCCTGTCCTAGTTACGTTGTCTCTCCTGACACATCTTCTTTAGCGTATTCTTTAAGACTCTATTGAGTCTCTTACAAAGTCCATTACATCCGAGGCTGTATGGGGAGGTAAAGAGCTGCCTAGTGTTGATGAGTCTGCACAACTATTGCATCATTTCTGAGGTAAATTACGTCTGTCTAGCACTTAAGACTTCTTTTGGAATGTCTACTCTGCAGAACACTTCCAGGAGAGTGTCTACTTCTCTCTCCATCCCTATGTTTGGCAGTGTTATGGCTTATGGGTAACATGTTGCACAGTTGACTACTGTCACCATATACTGCTTGCCTCCATTGAATACAGGTGCTAGTAGTCCAATCAAGTGCAGAGCTACTCTGCTGAATGGCTTTTCTATGAGAAGCATCTCACCCAGTGGCACCTTGGTTATTCTCCCTCTAGGTAGTGTCCTTTGGCAAATGTCACATGACCTGTAGAATCTGGTCACATTTCCAATGACCCCTGACCAATGAAAGTTGCTGGTGATTCTGTCTGCTGTCTTCTTCGCTCCCAGGTGTCCTCCCACAATTGACTCGTGAACCAACTTCGTCACTTGAGTGTGGTATTCTGTTGGTACTATGATCTGTTTAACTTCCCCAGTAGAACTGCTTTGATAGATATGTTACAGCACCCCTTCTGATCCTCTATTCTTTAGGTCAGTTTCCTCTTTGTCTTGTGCTCAACTTTCTCCTGAGCACTTTATTCTTTCTGTGGGAAACTTTCTCAGTGTTCCATCAATCAGCACACACAGGTGTATCTTGCTCATCATTTGGTCATCAGATACTAAACTGGTTCTCACTGTTGCACACAGTGTCTCGTAGGGTTTTCCCTTTCTTGTCCCCAAAATAGCCTTCACCTGCTGGCATATTGTCGTTTGTTAGCACCTCTTAATGTTTGTCACATGCTCCAATCATCACTGACACTGTTGACCCGTTTGCTAACTTAAGCTGATTATCAATCATGCACTGTTTAATCATGATAATACACTTCCTTTTTGTGGTGAATTTGATGAGTTGTCTTGGTTCTGTTTCTTCGGACAGCAGCACCCATGATAAAAGTCACTCTTTTCTTCTTTCTTGGCAGCACCATCTTTATGAGTAGCTCCAACTGCTTTATGTTGAGATTTCTGCTGTTGCTAGTTGGTGACAGACTTGCACTCACTCAAAATGTGCCCCATAGGAATGTATGGGTACGCGGCCAGATATTTGGCCATGACCAGGTATTGGGCTACCCAGTAATACTTGGCTCCAGCCAAGCATCGAGGTTAAAAACAGTCAAATCTGGGTAATTGAAAATGGCAACTAACGCTGTACTGAAAGTTACAATCAATAATTGGTTTAGTTAAAAAAACAAAGACTGATTGCCTGCTGAAAGTCAGGGATTCAGAGAATAATAGGGAAGGTGGGGGTTTTAAGAACAATAGTGGTTAGGGGTTGAGAAGTTGGGGCTAGGGATTGAAAGCTGAAAGTAAAACTTGAATGTTGTGGTGGTGATTATTCAATTAAATGTAATAAACATCAATTTTGTTTTTGTTTCTAATTTTTGTGTATGTTGTTGTGTTTGTTTTGTTGTTATTTTTTAGGGGGGGAACCTGGTCTCTGTTGACACCTGTTCCGGGCCAAAAGCTTAGTGACCGGGTACCCGGATTCGGTATTCGGCCAAATTTTACTACCCGTACATCCCTAGTGACCCATTTTATAAAAAGCATAGCATCTCTTCCCCTTTGTCTGTTGACTTCTTGTTCACTTATGCTACACTGTTGGTTATCACAGTTGTATTCAAAGCTTTAAATAATTGTCTCTTTTTGTCAAAAATACATAGAGGTTTGTTCAATTACTTTAGAACCCAACTGACAAGATGAATTATTCAAAATAAGTCAAACGTATGTACAAAAATTTGTTACACTATTGTTTACAACAGTTTTCAGAGCTTTCAATAATTGTCTCTTTTTGTCAAAAATACATAGAGGTTTGTTCAATTACTTTAGAACCCAACTGACAAGATGAATTATTCTTCTCTACTCTGTTATTGCAATAAAATCTGTGATTATTACACTTTAAAAATTGCCACTATACACTCTTTATGACTAAATCATGATCACCCAGTCTATATCTATCTCTATCTAAGTAACTTACTATGTCCTACTCAAACTACATTTTTTATGCATATTTATAGTTTGACCGAGGCCTAGAACATTCTACATATTATAAGACATTATGATGCAATGATACTCAATCAAAACAACAAGAAAAACTTTAAATGTTCTAGTAAGATGACACAATAATACAAAAAGTGTAAATTTATAACAGTTGAACTACACAATGTATGATTCTCACAGTTACATAAAAAACCTGCATTAAACTATTGCCTGTAAAAAAAAAAAAACTAATTTTAACAATCATGCTATACCCAATTTATCTAAATCATAACACTCACATTAAACTTTAACAGTCATTTATATCTAACATACAGTCTTCACACCAAGTGGATAGTTATAAACAGAGACCAAACCAGTTAAACTTGAAATATACAACAGGTTACCATGGCTAACCCAATGGTGAAAAAGAATCCTATATTTAAGGGTGTCCAGGGAATCCACCAACTCTTTTCTCCCTGACCAAGTAACTACGTAGAGTAGTGAAAAATTCAAACCCAAATGCATTGGGAAGTGAGACCAACTTTCAATCCCTACTCCAAAACCAAGGCAAACACAGAAAGGGTTTGAGTACAGTAGACGTTACACATTAGTATTTATGATCCAAGTGAAAAACTTCCCTAAGAAGCTACTACTAAGAATATGGAGAAACATTGAATGAGATGTAAGGAAGAAATTAAATCTATTTCTTGGCACAAATCCAGTCATTAGCTCAAATTTTAATAGCTAATCAGTTAGTTAAGTATGGGATTTACACTTTATATTCAGAAAGCTAAAAATACTAATTGATTAACATAGTGACAATATTTCTATTCTATACTACAATATATACAAAGAAACAAACAATTTTAATACTTAGTAAAGAAAAAACAAAACAAAGATTAAACAAAGCATCAAATTCAAACCTTTCTCTTTCGAAGAACTTTTTACCTGCTATCTAGACGTAGTTCTTTTAATTTTGCTTGAGCTTCACTTTTACCCATGCGATTGATTTGTCCATTAATTTGAGACAGTTGTTTATAGATAGGATCACTGAAAGGACTTTTTTCCTGTTTTTCAGCCATTACTGTAAAAGAGAAACAATATCAATTGAAACTGACCACAACATTCTAACAGAAACTTAAGAAATAAACAAAGTAAAACAATGCACTCACTCTTTACTATACTTTCTTGGCAAGACTGCTGCTTATTACTACTTCCTATAAAATGTACTCTTTAAAATTGTGGTTTGATGAATTTCTTATTGACTGTATATTGTTAGTAAGATTCCTTAGGGGTCTGTGTATTTGGCTGTAGGTTATATCAGTTTGCAAGTGACAATATGCTACTATGGTGAGCTGTTACTTTGAAAAATAATGCCTCAAAAGGCTTAATTAATGGTTATGGTCATTCACATAGAGTTAAGAAAATTAGATAAAACATGCTGGATATGAAAAAAAAATGTTTCTATTGTAGCAGGCTTTTAGCCAGCAACCTGTCCACCCACTTCTTGGACAGGCAAATGATCAAGCTGGGCAAAAACTTGAACAGACAAAACTAGACAGACAAAAATATGAAACTAATTTCAATACTTTTAGGTACTTTAACACTCGTGGTATTCAAATGGTATTCCAACCATGATGGAGTTAAATAGTAATTTAAAAATTGCTCTGTAATTGTATTTCATTTCCTCAGTGGTTGAGAATGATAATTTTCAATAAGAGCTTTAACCCTGTTCAGACCAGAGGAGTATCTCAAGAGAGTGTCTTCTTGGCAATATTTGCATTAAACATCAAAAAAACTTACTAAGAAGTATCTAGTTTTGGCTTTAAAATATTTAGATAATTTGATTCAGCATTTTTATCATTTTTAGGTTGCAAAATTTTGTTAATACTATTTCAAAAAATATCAAAAGTTGTTTTTTCATTTAAGAATTTCAAATATTTTTATCATTGATCAGATATGCAAATCTCTCTCTCTCTCTCCATTTTTAGGTAGGTGCCTGAGGATTAGAGAATTACTAACATCACTCCCATTTTGGAAAGGAGTGATAACTGTTGCCCTGGAAATTATAGGCTTATTTAGTGTGAAAAATACTACTGAAGAAAGATTTTTACAGAATCATTTAGAGAAATACGATACCATAAAAAAGAATGTCAGCATGGATTCACAAAATGGAAATCTTACCAGACAATTCTTTTAAGTTTTTTGAGGATGCTACTTGTCATCTGGATGATGGAAAGGGTATAGACTTGGTGTACTTACACATTTTCAAGACTTTTGATAAGGTGCCACACTAAATATCTGCTAAGAAAATCACATCAGTGGAGATTTTGGGAAAATAGTTAATTAGATTGTAAGGTGGTCAAATAAGAGAAAGTAAAAAATATTTATAGAGTTGTTTGTTTGTTTGGAGTTCATCGGTACAAAGCAACAGATCTGTTTGTGCCAAATAACTAGAATTAAAACAAAAAGTAAAATACTACAAAAAGGATAGAGAAAACAGGCTTTAAAAGCTAAACGATGCCCAAAAATCTAGTAAAAACTAAATAGAAATTATAAAGCTAAAAGCCAATCAATCTGGACAACGTCACCACTGCCAATGATACTGTCCACCATCAGGGGTAAACCCTGAGAAAAAAACATGTTGAAAATGGTGCCACCATTCACAGTCGTAAAGATGGCACAAAAGCAAGTCACGGGCAATTCTGACTTGAGTGTCACAAAGGCGACACATTGATGGACCAGTCCCACATAAAAGAGAACATTGAGTTAAGAAACTATGGTCAATATGCAGCCTAAACAACTTCCTCCCTCTGATCCTTATGAAAACTAGATGTCCAAACAACAACATTAGGTTTGCTCACCACAAATCGACTGCCAAGTGGTGTGAAGACATGCCTTGATCACAGTATCATAGTCCATATAAAGAACAGCTATGGCTGTGACAGCACCAGAGCAGATGGACTTAGCTGCGGTATCAGCAAACTTATTTCCTAGAATATCAACATGGCCAGGTGCCCAGAAAAATTAGATAGAAATGGATGACAAAGAAAAATGGGTGAATCTTTCTAAATGTCTATGAAAAGAGGGTGAGAACTCACCTTAAGTTATTCCAAGGCTAGCAACAACAACATTAGGTTTGCTCACCACAAATCGACTGCCAAGTGGTGTGAAGACATGCCTTGATCACAGTATCATAGTCCATATAAAGAACAGCTATGGCTGTGACAGCACCAGAGCAGATGGACTTAGCTGCGGTATCAGCAAACTTATTTCCTAGAATATCAACATGGCCAGGTGCCCAGAAAAATTAGATAGAAATGGATGACAAAGAAAAATGGGTGAATCTTTCTAAATGTCTATGAAAAGAGGGTGAGAACTCACCTTAAGTTATTCCAAGGCTAGCAGAGAGCTAAGAGAGTCTGTGTAAACAGTACAACTAGGCAGTGAACACAGAAACTATAGTGGGTATCTTGTGAGTAATCACCAAGCCACAACAAACCATGGCAGAACTCAAAGAGTCAGTTGATTTTGAGCCATCTGTAAAAATTGGAACAGAAGAATGGTTCACAATATGTTCAGCAAAAAAAAGACGGTACTTCCAATCTGGAATATCTGTCTTCTTCAGATGACTCAAAGAAAGGTCACAGGTAGGGGTGGTAACAAGCTCGTCATCAGATTCAGCAACATCATCCAATGACAGACGCAAATCAACCAATTTCGCCTGGATACAAAAGCCAAATGAAGGAATGGCTGACCACTGATTCTGAAAGAGCAAAGCCCTACAAAGAAGGAAGGTACAACTGTAGGTGGGATGCCTTGGTAAGGATTGAAGCTTGATAGCATATTGCAAAGAAAGTTGCAAACATCTGAAGTGAGGAGGAGGTTCATGTGACTCAGTGTACAGACTTTGGACTGGTGAAGTGCAGAAAGCCCCCCATGTAGAGCCAAAGCCAAAGATGGTGCATAGGGTCCAACATCTTCAAGGGAGAGGCCCCAGCAGAACTGTAGACCAGAGATGCATAGCCCAGCTTTTATTTATAAGGGCACAATAGATCTTGAGCATTGAACATCTATTTGCTCCTCAAGTGGTGGAAGAGAGAACATGAAAGTTGTTCAGTTCTTTTGTACATTTGAAACAAATCTGCTTAATGTGAGGTATGAAAGTAAGCTTATGGTCAAATATAAGTCCCAGAAATGTTGTCTCAGCCACTGGAAGAACATTACCACCAAGATGGAGCTCTAGATCAGGATGCAAACTATGCTAGTGGCAAAAATGGATGCAAACAGTCTTAGAAGAAGAGAAAGTGAAACCGTTTGCCCTGGTCCACCCCAACAAGCGAGTGAGAGCAGTTTGAAGGTGCTGCTCAATAGAACTCGTGTTCAATGACTAATAAGAATTATGAAGGACATCGACACAGAGGTTGTTTGCAACAGTAGGAGGAAGTTGCTCAGTAACAGCATTTATCTTAATACTGAAAAGTGTAACACTCAAGACACAGCCCTGAGGGACACCAAGCTCCTGTTTAAAGGTTCGGGACAGGGTTGAAACCACGTGGACTCTAGTCCAGTAAAAGGTTACAAATAAAAATGGGTAAATGTCCATGCAACCCATATGAATGGAGGTAATGCTAAATGCCAAACCTCCACATAAGCCTCTCAAGATCAAAAAATAATAGAAATAAGACGACCTCTCTTGAAAAAGGGTTCCCCGATTGAGCTTTCAAGACAAATCAGGTGGTCCTCAGTGGAATACTGTCAACAAAAACCACACTGAGTGGGCAAGAGGAGGTTGTTTGATTCAAAGAACCAAACAAGACGTGCATTAACCATCCTTTCTAAAACCTTACAGAGACAGCTAGTCAAGGTAATTATATAATAATTAGAAAGTATCTTGGGATCTTTCCCAGGCTTACAAAAATGAAAACAATAGTCTTGAGCCATGCATCTGGAGAAAGATTTGCCTGCAAAATCCAGTTAAAAACAACCAGACAAAGAGTAAGAGATGCAGGGGAGAGATGAAGAGCAAGTTTAAGTTCCATCAATGTAAATGGAAGATTATAATTATAGAGTTGATCTGCCTGAAAAGAAAGAGGAGATACATGGGGCTTGATGGCCAAGAAGGTAAGAGAAGAAACAAAAGCTCTCCCCAAGAGTATCAGCGATGCCCTGTACATCAGCAACTTCCTAGCTATAGGAGAGCAGGACTGAAATGGGTTGGTAAACATACTTTCTACAAACCTTCTGAATCCTGTCCCAGGAGACCTTAGAACTGGTAGTAGAAGAGATGCTGGTAATGAACTTCAACCAAAATTCATTGTAGATTTGGCATCTATGGGCCAGGAATGTGCACAAGCCTGCTGGAAAGCAATGAAGTTGGAAAAATTGGGATATCTGCAAAAGATATCCCAGGTCCATTTCTGAGCCTTCCAGGCTCACTGGCAGGCAGGAGTCCACCTGGATGAGGATACTATGGGAAATGTGTCAAAGTTTTGGGATTGAACGAACAGTTGCTTTTATAATACAATCAGTTTCTGCCTTCACATAGTCATTAATAGATGGAAGACTAACATCAGCAGGATCAAGTTCTGAGAGACTGATGAAGGAAAGCCCATCAGCCTGCTCCAACTTTCATCTTGGATCAGGTAGCATCAACCACAGACAATCTCCCTCAAAATGATGGGAAAATGTTCACTGCCCCATGGGCCACCGTCAACCTTCTAAGAAAAATGAGAAAAAAAGTGAAGGTGAATAGATAGATAGAGCAATAGCAGTAAAAGACTGACTAGGTGAATGAAAATAGGTAAATGAACCAGTATGATCTGACAGCATATGCTCCACAGAACATCCCTGCCATCAATATCAATGCCACCCAAGAGGGGATTATGTCCAATAAAATCTCCCAAAATAAAGAAGGGAAACAGCAGCAGGTCAATAAGATCATCAAAGTCTAACTGTTCATAAATCTCTTTTGGTGACAGGTAAATTGAACATACAGTGATGGTACGACCCACATGGATACAGATGACCACAGCTCCGAAGGGCATATTGAGTAGCACAGATATGGTTGGTATTTGCCGGTCA